GCAGGACAATGTTTCTGGAAAGACATGTTGCCACCGAACATTAATATAAATTTTCAGTGCTTAAACCACCAAATTTAAATTCTGATCACTTAACTTTTTTTGGGTGAGGGGCATCATGGCGGCCTAAAAGTTTAAGACACTGACCATACAATTCCCATTTCCCTAGTCTGACGTCCGGCTAGGTACCTTTGTTGCATTTCTCTCTCTGCATTTCCTGCCAGCTCTACATACAGTACTTTCTAATGAAGGCATACAAATGCCCCGCCAAAAACATGAAAAGTGTACAGGGGTGAAGACAAAAATCTCACTATCTCAAAAGCTGGACAATTAAACAAAACTATTTGCATGGTAAGTTACCCATAAGGGAAACAGTTATTTATGTATTTGTTTACCCTGAGTAAATGGACAATTTTCAGCTAAATATTCTCCAACATACCTGTAAAAAGCAGCTCCCAATGTCACTGTGCTCTGGTATGGACACATTGTATAGCTGCTGCTGGAAGACAGGCTCGTTATCATTGACATCCTCCACCTGCACAGTGACTGTAGCCGTGGATGACAGAACCGGTTCTCCTCCATCAGCCGCCACCACCAGGAACCAAACCTCCATCTGTGTCTCTCTGTCCAGAGCTGCAGATGTCGTGACGAGGCCTGATTCCGGATCGATACTAATCAGGCTGTCCTGGTTGGATTTGAGGATGGAGTACCTGACGTCCGAGTTGACGCCCTCATCTGCGTCTTGGGCCTGCATCTGGATGATGGAACTCCCCTGAGGGGCGTCCTCGGCAATGCTGATGATGTATACATCCTTCTCAAAAGCTGGGTGGCAATCATTGGTGTCAGCCACCCTCAGGAGGAATACCATCTCACTGCTCAGGGGTGGGCTCCCAAAATCTGATGCTTGCACCTTCAACTCATACAGATCCTTTTCTTCCCTGTCTAGCTCTGCATTGACGCACAAAGCATACAGAAAATCATCTGTTTGCTTCAGGGTGAACTTCCCATCACCCCCCTCAAGCGTGACAGCGACCCTCTCCTTCTCAAAGTCGGCGTCCGACACGGAAATCCGGGCAACATAGTCCCCAATTGCTGCTGCCTCTGACACCACTGAATCACCTGTCTCACTGAGAAACAACACACTGATGGTGGGACTATTATCGTTCATATTAAGCACCTTCACACCCACAAAAGTGCTGCTGTACTCAGGCTGAGCCCCGTTATCTTTTGCGCTGATGATCAACTCATGAAAAGACTGAGTTTCATAATCAAGCAGCTTGTTGAGATACACCACCCCACTGGTTTCGTTGATGGAGAACACCTCATTTGGGTCACTCTGCCGCCTGTTGATCTCATAAGTGATTCTGCCGTTGTCGCCCAGGTCGAGGTCGGAGGCGTGCACCTGACACACAGCAGACATCACCGGAGCATCCTCAGGCAGTGAGGCGTGATATTCAGTCTGGTTGAACACAGGAGGGTTGTCGTTCTCATCCAGGACATGGATGTTCACCTTAAGAGTTCCCGTCCTGGCTGGGACGCCACCATCAAAGGCCTCAATGGTGAGGGAGTAGAAGTCCAGTGTTTCCCGGTCTAGTTTGCTTGTGAGGATGACATCCAGGCTTAGGTGGTTACCAGATCCACTGCGATACTCCAGGTGGAACAAGTCCCCCATTTCAGTCTCTGTGATCCTGTATCCCTGGGTACCAAACTCACCCTCATCCTCATCTTTAGCACCTTCAAGCTGAAATCGACTTCCTGGGGGGCTCAGTTCTGATATTTCCAGGTCAGCCTCCTCTGAGGGAAACACGGGGGAGTGGTCGTTCACATCTTTCACCTCTAGTTTAACTTTTATCATCTCACCTGTGAGAGTGGCTGCCACAAATTCATACTTATCTCTGCTCTCTCTGTCCAGGATCACAGCAGTGGAGATGATCCCCGTGTCTGCGTCTATTTCCAGGTCTCTGAACACATAGGAATCTCTGCTCTCTGAGATGAAGAATCCAGTGCTTGGCCTGCTTAAAACGGCTCCCAGATCTCCAACGATGGTTTTGGCAGGCAAACCCTCTTTAACAGAGAGCGTCAGGTTGAACACCTGCCCGAGCGACTGCGCGCAAAGCAGCAACAGGACGAGCGTCGGAAAGAGCGAAGTTGCGGCATTTTTGCGACCCATTCCTCCTTTACACATGGCTTTGAACTCTTGGTTAGTAAGTCGATAAGGCTACATATTTCCGTGTAAAAATTCAAAATCATAAATCACATTTTACAGCGTCTCTCCAAACGAAAACGGGTAAATGCGCCGTGCATTTTTGCGCGCAGGAAAACCGCCAGCAGTCATTCTCCATCACAATATTTCAACAGCTTGAGTGATTTTGGAGAGTAGAAATCCACACATCTAGTGACGCTAATCCCCTGAGCTTCTTCACACATCATGGCACTGAGTCGCCACAGAGCACCAACTGTGCGCATTGAACACACCTCCTGGCAGGCGGCACGTCCCACACTGATCGGATGTGGCCCTGATTGCTTAAGATTTAATTAGGCCGAGAGATTAAGTGCCACGTGCTGGCAGGTGACCTGTTGAAAATCATAAAGTGTGCATGAAAGCAGAAAAAGGTGGCAGTAGCTCAAGCTCAGTCAGCTCGGGTTAAGAGATACAGAGCTGAAGAGGTGCCAGTTCACCTCCTGGGCACTGCCGACGGTGGCCTTGAGAAAAGTCCTGAACCCACAACAACCCTCGCGCTCAGATCACTCCATGTGTAGATGTGTAGCCTAGTTGCATGCTGAATAGGTCCCATTTGAGTATGTGCGTGGACCTGTGTGTGTAATAATAACAGAGAAAAAACATTGACCCCCTAACGGGGATATAAAGTTTGTCTTCATCTTCTTATAAACCAATCAGTGATTTAGCACGCCTGGTTTTGGTTAAGTGGGATAATTCAAATAAGCGGTTTAATAGTTTTTAACAAAAGCCCATCCAGTGTTGGAGTGGCTCCATCTACTGGTAAAAACAAAAACTGCAGGCATTGCACAATGAAATATGTTCTTGTAACTCCCAACAGACAATCAAGCAAAGTTTATGGGGCCAATGGCGCGCTCAGTGTGCAAAAGTGTCAACAAGATTTTAAGCGACTGAAATGATGCTCGTGTGCATTTTATGGAAAAAGTGCACGTGACACTAATGTTTTTACATGCGCACAGATGTTAGGTGTGTTTTTTGGCCCTGCTTTTAGCTGTTAAAGCAGGGACAAAAGAAAGCATTCCTTTTAGCTGTGTCTGTTGCTATAATTTGTGCACACCTGTTATTTAAACTCTTTTTTTATACTACAAATCTTTCTATGTATTTACAACCTTGAATTAGATTTTTTTGAAGTTTAACAAATGATGATAACAACTGGCTTTGAAATCTCCTCTGAACATTCGTCTTTGAGCCCACTGCCATAAAATTAGGACAGAACATTGAAACAACCTCAGCATAAGAAAATCACCCCATGTGATGAATAAGGAGATGGAAATCCCTTGCTTTATGGAAGGCATAATGACACAGTTATAATCTAAGACTGGGCTACAGACAAATTAATAAAGATGGAAAGAGACAAATAAATTAATCAGAATACACAATAAAAGTGCAGGTTTGATGATGGACTAAGTGCTCAAGGTTCAGTTAAATACGTATTTTTTAATATATTTTTAATTGCCAGTTGTCTGTGTTTGTCTTTTCTTTTTAAGCAACCATAGAAGACAAACTAAGAATTCCATTGGACAGTACAGCTTGTTCTCTACACATATCATGGTTAAGCTTTGAATTATTTTATTCTATGCTTGTTATAGAATCCAGGCCTCCATAAACATTTTGAGCCTTGGAGCCCTTATTAGTCTGGCAGGCCTTAGTAGCCATCATGCATCCTCCCATTGGTGCCTGCAAGCACCGTCACCAAGCAACAGATGTAACTTGAGCTGTATACCTGAGTAAAGAAACTGCAGAGCTACTGCAGGCCTGCTGTGGGTAGACTTCAGGTGAGGAGACCTTTTGGTAAAATGAGTGTTATCCCATCAGCCAAACATTTGTGTTTAAATTCATGTAACAGTCTCAGTGATTCATTTTCAGAGAAAGAGAAGGTCTTGGCCAAATTAAGTGTATTTTAGAGATTGGATTATATGTATGCACACAACACTGATTAAACATCTTTCACCTGATCGCGCAGATATTTTACATCTACCGTCTATGGTGTTGCCTTTAGAAATGCAGAAAAGGATGAGGAGCACTTTGAGATGTGTCTCAGGTCTCTGGAGGAGGAGATCATGTTTAACGCCCATCACCTCCTAGCATTTAAAGAACCTCTAGAGAGCGGGTTTAACAGTCAGAACCAACAAAAATCCGGCCTTAAGAAGAAACCGAGCCGAGGGTTTTGCCATGCTCTCTCAGAGCTCTACATCCAAGAGTCAGGTAGATATGGATATAAAGCGCTCAAAAAAAAAAAATCCTCTGGGGTGCATGGATGTATGTAGGGAGGTCACGGAAATTAATAGCTGTGAACCAACTGACGCACACCGACATTCCTAGGATGTGTTTTTAACAGCTTTCATGTGGTTTTACACTGATATTTCAGAATAATCCAAAGTGGGACATTGTGAAAATATTGGTGTAATGTAACTGCATGGCAAGATACTTCTTGAAGTATGCATGAAAATGTCATTCTTGTAACTCTGGTGAACCCTTTACTCTAAAAAGCAATCTGACAATACACACGAAAATTCAGCTGGTGGGCTAACTATCTATACCTCTATTAAAATTTGTGTATTTGATGTATCTTGTTGTGCTGCGCTTTCCCAGCTAACCCGCCCAACTGGTGACACTATAAGCACAGTGGAGCTCAGTGATACACCTGGAGACAATTGCTACTGGGAGGAGATTAAGGGCAACAGCTGCAAGTACTACAGGAACATTGTCACCAACAGATACCTTAAGTACATAAAGCCCTTCACTGAACAAAAGACAAAGGCAGTGTGTGAAAAATGTGGTCTTTATTAAATGGAGCAAAATAAACTTCACATTTTCAGCCAGAAAAAGGGCAATGTTTGTTTCCACATCTGTACAACTGGCAATTCTGTTGAGTAAATACAAAAAAACATTTTCACAAACAATTTATTCGACACTGCAGCCAGAAGCAGGTCTACTCTGAGGCCAATCCGTCTGTATATAAGGAGTGGTCGATCAGACACACCATAGCCATCAGAGAGCCGTCATCATCAAGAACAAACACTCAGGGGAGGTTCCTGGCACTCCAAAATGGCCACTTTACCGGACTAATGTCATACAACGACGACTGCAAATGGTTTTTAGAATAAAACGGGACAATTGAACGTCATATCGGGATGTGGTTGCTTCTGTTAGACACGTTAGCTATGAAGAAGTTTGCCTGATGGAAAAAGTAGTAGCAAGAAAAACCTGACGTATATCTACAACAGGAGATTTGGTAGAAATAAAATGAAACGTTACTGTGACAAAGAGGAACAAATATAAAATCATTAGAATCTTTTTCTCTTGAGGATTTCTGGTTTCCAGTTGATTGGATGGCTTTCTTCCGTCTGCAAGAAAGAAAACAGGAGTTGTCACATGATCAGCTTGGGAACTCACACTTCAATCTAAATTGACTTTAAATAGAACAGTGTAACTTACGGCAGTGTCGTCTTCTTTGTATACTTTAATGGTCTTGTCAGCCTCAGCGGTGATCAGCCTGCTTTCTGAGTTGTCGAACATGCAAGCAAAGATGCCGGACTCGCTGTCCAGAGATCCAGGCTGCACAGCTGCATGAATCCGCTGGAAGTTGTAGCCTGTCCTCCAGTCCCACATGTGGATGGTTCCGTTGTCAGCTACAGAGAGAACAAAAATGCTACCATCTTATTAAGAATTAAAAGTGAAACATTTTCTGTGGATGAAACAAGCTGTTTAGGAAGAAAGTGACAGTGTAACTAGTTATGAATACCTCCAGACACCAACACGCCATCAGAGTTGACAGCCAGAGTGTTGATAATGGCGTTGTGGCCCGACAAGTTCTGGATGAAGTTGCCATCTGGGAACATCCACTGCTTGATGTTATCAGCAGAACCAGAAGCAAACGTGTATCTGTAAAACACAGGTAATAAGATGACAACAAATTAAGTACATTACTCTTAATTAGTTTTCATTATGGTATAATAGGTATAGTATAATCCCCTAGGATATAATATCTTACTGTTCATAATAACTCAAAAAGAGCTTTGACTAATGATTTGTTTTGTAATTGATTAAGCTTTTAGTCCATTAAAATAAAGATGAAAATTTGTATCGCCCCATCAAACCCCATACGGATTCAATTTAATATTATATAAAACTGAGGAAAGCCAAAACTCCAATTACTCTTAGCCATGTAATTGTTTCAGCACTATCCTTAACAACACTGACTAATTAAACCATATATGTTTAGGTTTGGTAACCTCGGTGACTTACTGTCTGGGGTGCAGCACAATACTTCGGACAGACTTCTTGTGGTTTGTCAGAGTCGCTCTGGTTTTTCCAGCAATCAAATCCCACAGTCTGATGGTTGAATCGTGACTGCCTGCAAGAAGTTAATCAGTTGCAGTTGTTATCTGACATTAACAGTGAAAAGGCCAACCAATCGGCTACAAGGTCAACCACTTAATGGTGATACACAATGATTTGTTTGGTATTTACCAGTGATGATCTGTGGTTCTGCAGCCTGACATCTCACTGTGGCAACAGTGTTGGTGTGGCCCGTTAGTGTGTGCACGTTCGCTTTTGTCCTGATGTCCCACACCTGCATGGACAGAGAAAAAAATCCAATTACTTTAATTAATGAATCCTGCAGAGGCCTTAATTACACGCATCAAATTCAAAACATATGCAACAGCTGCCTGATGTAAGGATGGTCTCTTTAAACACCAGTCCATTCTGAAACTTGTACTCCTTCGGTTTTGTGGGAGAGATACATGCTTAGGTACACCCCACATAAAACTACACTAAAACCAAGCAAAAAGAAAGCATTTTTTTTTATTATTAGGGAAGAATGAGTGTGGTATTCATTATTAAACTACTGTTCAATAACGACAGGTATAAGGTGACAAATGCAGAACTGTGAAAACCAGAAGTTATTCATGCTTGGAAAACACAACACAACATAAAGAGCTGAACGCAACCCACAGAATGGTAAATCACAGCCAGGAGCAAAGCAGCCATGATGTTTATCAGAAAATTCAGATACTGGAACCCTCTTGCCTGAATCTCAAATGAAGTTTTTTTAAAACTCAATCCAGAAGTAGGTAATTTTCAAACCCACATTTATTTACATGCTTTTATCCACTTGTAATTGTGCAGAGGAAAATGTGAATGAAAATGCAACAGTGACTGCTGAAAGTAAAGGTGAGAACTCTTTCTTAAAACAAAACTGAACCTGTTAAATTTCAACGTTAACATTCGTTTACATTCAATGACGAACATGCAACGTATGAGCTCACCCTTGCTGTGGCATCTCTGCTGCACGTCACCAGCACGTCAATGGTTGGATGTAGGTCTATACCATACACAGCACTAAGGTGTCCGTGGTAGTGCCTGATGACCTAATACACAGATTGACATTGTCAACAGGATCGAGAAATACGACAAATCAAATGAAAAGTCTTTTTATGGCTTTTTAAGACTTGTATGTATGGGTTCGGAAGTAATTCCATTGCATCAACCTCTTTCTCATTTTGATGTCATACCTTGTTGTACTCCAGATCCCAACACTTGACCTGCTTGTCTTCTCCACAGGAGAACAGGTAAGGGCTGCGAGTGCTGACCGCCACACCTCGCACTGTACTGATGTGTCCAGTCAAGGAGAGTTTCAGTTTCCCACTGGCCAGGTCCCAGATCTGTCAAGACAAACACCCATCAAGTTATGTTATGAACATTACAGAACATTTCCAGAAACAGTGCCATCTTGAGGTGACAGGAGGGATGTTATCATGAAAGCTGCAGCTGTAGACACTAGAAAAAGTGCTATACTGATCCAGCCTGTGGGTCCAGAAGAAAATGTAAAGGCGCTAAATATATAAAGTCTGATTTGATTAAAAGCAAAGTGTAATAATGCTGCAATTAACCATTCTGGCATTCATAAACCTACTTAAAATACAACAGATTTAATGAAAGAGAGGTTAGAAAAAATTTAGCACAGTAGATGAGGGGTAAATAGACCCTGCATCTCAGTCTAAATCAGCGAGATGTCTCAGTTGTCATCATGTGAGCAAACAGAGATGACTCCACGGCAACTGAAACAACTTCAATTTGCAGATGAAGACCATGGGATGCAGCTGAGAGCACTGGAGATAGAAAGTAGACCTTGAGTTTTTAATTTTGTCAAACTGCTATTCCTGAGATCAAAAAAGTGTTTTCATGCTCAAAATGTGTTCTTGTTCTTACACTTCAAGACACTCTTCAGTATAAAACCTCTGGATAACATTCATTATGAATTCGTTATTTTCAGCTTCACTCACCTTTATGGTTCTATCAGCAGACCCTGTGACAAACCACTGATTCCCAGGCTCCACAGCGATGGACCTCACCCAGCCAAGGTGACCACTGATGACCTATCAGATAAAACATACTACTGTTAAAAATAAGGAAACATCCCAGATGTAGGCTTCACTTTGGCATCAGTGCAGCAGGCACATCTACAAATAATGGGAAAATACAGCACACAAAGGAAAAGTTAAAATGATTTGTAGTTACCCGAAACAGCTTCCATGGTGGATGCCACTGGGGTTTAGGCATGGTTGGAGCTTTCCTCATTAGTGAAGAATTTCTGGTGCCGCCTCCCTCCAAGAGAGACTAAAATAAATGCATTCATTATCAGCTCTGCGCTGCTTTCAGAGATTTTACAACAAGGGTAACAAGATAGCTTTAAACACACTTCAACCTACCACAGCAGACGACTGAGGGTGAGACCTCTCCGCTCCTCCTGCATGCCGATGGATGTCACCAACACTAGCAGCGGTGCGGCTTACGTCCTGCCTGAAATTCAACAACGTGAACCTTTGTTTATATAAGTTCTTTCAAAATCCTGAAAAGTTCCAGAGTGTTTATACCAAATTACTACCAATAACTTATTACACTAACACACTGTAGGGGGGGCGTTACCTGGCCTGTGAGGGGGGCAAAGCCAGTGCCATGGAGTGGACTCCTCCGTCACTTGGATTCCTGTGCAACTTTGTGTCAGCAGTCAAGGCCACTCCTTTTGAATACAAAAAAACTGTCATAAACACTAGAATAATGCTGATGCAGTTCACTGAATGGGCTCAGAACAATTATACACATGCAGCTTGGTTAAATTAATAAGCATAGTACTTACCAGGTCCAGAGGGATAAGCGTGTGTCCCAGTGATCAGATAGTCTGGGTCATCCCCTGAAAGACATTGGAATAAAAACCACCACCTCTAATGAGTGAGTTCTAGAGCATCAATGTTCAGGACAACAACAACAACCTTTTTAGTTAGTCCAAATAAATTACAAAACAAAAACTGGGCTTTCTGGATCGACTGTTATGATACTGAGGGTAACATGCAGTGTTTGTTTCATCCTCACCTGGTTGTGTGTAGCCCTGGTGGCCTTGCATGCTGCCAGGAAGCAGTGAGACTCTGTCTTTCCCTTCCTTCAGGACAGGCATGTGTAAAACTGCACCATATTCCGCTTTCAGTTTCACACCCATCTTTAACTTGAAGCTACAAATACAGGAGACAATGGTGCATCATTTCTTCTTCAAAATCACTCATGTGCTCACTCAAGTAATGATTCTGTCATGTTATCATTTGGTCTTAAATGTCAAAACAAACATTAAGGTCCACAAAAGGCTGAGGAGAACTCCTGAAGTTTAGGGGAAAGTTAAGGGAAACATTTCTATGCCCATTCGCTCTTGTTAATTTAAATTTAAAATTAATTAACAAAGAGCTACTAGACATCATTTTGACAAGCCTAAAGATCTGACAGACTAATCAAAATCATGACAACGGAAATAAGAGCAATTTCACTGTTGTTTTTCTCTGTGACTTCCTGACCACACGGTCAAATTGAAAGCAAAAACCGCTGCCCCTCACCTGCTGGACTACATTAACATTGCAGACAAATGCTTGTTTTAAACCCAGTTCAAGATGTGTTAATCATTAAATTTACTTGCAGAAAACAATGGAAATAAAATGCAACATAAATTAATGTACGTTGAGTTGCCAGAATTACCTTTCATCATCCTGTGCGATGGTTTTCGCATGGTCGGACACAAACATATCGTGCGTCCTTTTGAGAGATCTGAAAACCAGTGTGTGGACTGAGTGCTTCTGGACATCCTGTAGAAGAAAATAGTGTCTTATGTTAAAAATATTATATTTAACACATTTAAAGGGGGCAAAATTTATAAACGACTCTGACGTTACCCTGAAGTATAAGTTTTGCATACAGAAAATCGTATCGTAAACGTAACGCTTTCCAGCCATTAGCCGGGCCCGGCGGGGCACAGGTTCGGTAGCCAGCGCTTTGCGGGCGCAAAGAAACATACACGAAAATACTTCAAACCTCGCCTTACCTCAGTCATCGTGGTGATATAAACACAGAAAAAACACCGCAGTTGAAGAAAATACTTTTTCAACGATTGTAGCTTGGTCGCGCTCAAACATATATCACAACCGTGAAAACATGCCCATCACCAAACACCGACGACCACACGACCCGGAAGTAAACAATACCAACAGCAGCTGGTAGTTTGTCATCGCCACCTACAGGTCGGGAAATGTAAGCCCATGTAATTCTGCAAAAAAGAATAATAGAAATAATGTATTCCATAAATGTCAACATTTTGAATTTTCACTAATAATTAGTGTCAATATATTGATACAGTTAATGTAATTTAAATGAATGTAACTTGCACTCGTTGAGCACATGCCAAAGTTTGGTTTTCTTGTCTTGTGTACAGGCCATGTTTGCCTAACAGAGTACATTTACCAATGTTTATCCAATCCTTCAATGGCAAACAAATAAATAAAAATGTACCTAGTTGGTGCAAAGTGTGTGGGTTGCTATGTTGTGAAATAGTAGGGCTACAAATAAAACAACCCTGTTCTCCCTTCAGACCAACCTCAAAAACACCTGTTGACTGATAGGAATTTAGGGAGTGAGGGGAGCTGTATATCCTTTATATATCCCTAGCCTTTTGCATAACCATCCTCTATATTAGGCCATACAAAGGCTTTTGACATTTGGCGGAACCATCTACCTCGAGCCAAATGGATTTTGGACTCTACAGGTGGTTATCAAGGTGAGTGTGATGAGGCATGAGGACAAGTACTACCAGTACACAATGCAAAGTAGATAAACTGTCCAAAAGGGGAATCAAAATAAACACGGCAACTGTGGCCCTGATAAGATCTAGGTCACCAAGAGGATTTGATGTCCTGTGAGACACAAAAACTGTAACCATATAATTCCTTCAGTTAGTCTTAGTTGGTACTATTCTAAATGAATCTGTTATTCTGGGGTCAGCTGAGGAAAAGTCTGTTTGGGGTGAGTTTATTTAACGTGAATACCCTGTCTAACCATGTCTATAAAGTGTACCCTTGAGGTTTTAGTGAGAAAAATAAAATCAATCCTCATGTCATTTGTAATTTGTTTTGCAAATAAATCAAAACCAATGCTTAAAAATGTGTCTAAGGATAATGGCATGCAAAAAAGTATATTTGGTTGAACATGACTAAAATCTGATCTCATAGGATGACATAGGCTATAAACAGCTTGCTAGACATTCCTGTTATATCTACACTTTTAAAGGTTTTCGCATGATTTTTAGAGCTGCTACAGATGCGGCATTTCACGAGTTTTGGAAGTGCAGGAAAGGACAAAGTCAGGTGAACTTTGTATTGATATGCAGATGACCATTGTCATCATGGTAACAAGAATGAACATGAGGTAAACATTATGAAAGTTTAGTTAGGTTTAGGCAGTAAAACTACTTGGTTTAGTGAAATAACTTGGTTTGGGTCAAAATACGTCGGCTACGTTAGGAGGTTAAGTTACGATATGTAAGTTAACTTCCATCAGTAAGTTAAAAGAAGTCCATGTTGACTTTTGGTTTCACACAGGACACGAACAGCGGTCTGCCAGGTGAAAGTCCTGTCCATCCATCCCGCTGATGGATAATAAGACCTGGATGGGGTGCTGCTGCTAAACCTTGCTTTCAATGTTGCCCAGTGGCCACCTGTGGTATTGAGCTGCATGGGCCAAAAAAAATCCCAGCCCGACAGTGTTTACAATTTTTAAGCCCAAGCCCGACCTGAGACTGACACCAATGTCATATATTAATACTCTAAGCTCTCTCTGAGGCGTGCTTTCTAATGTGTGCTTCAAACATAACTACCAGTGCCACCAACAATAGAAAATTAGGCTATGTCTAATATTTATAATATAATCAATATAGCCTACAACATTTCATACAGTGTATGTATAAATGGATACAATGGAAGGAGAGAAGTTAAATCAGTCAGAGCCCAATCTATACAAAAAAAACTTGACTCAGACCTCCACCCTGTGGTCCAAAAAGCACATTTCCCTTAGACCACCATATTAAAAAAGACGTTTGTAAAACTATATTTGTGAAACTTTCCTCATGCAAAAAAAGTGATCGAAGAATCCGTGATGTCATCACTATGTAAAGTCTATGGGCAGAGTAGGAACTTGCAGGTAAGATATGCAGGTGAAACATTACTGCACATATTTGTTGGGCTGCATACCCAGAAGCTAGAAATGTTTTTGGTGTATATGCCAGGCAGATGAATGGGCACCATCTTTGGATCCAGTCCCCAGGGGTTTGTTCCAATACTCATATTTCCATACTATTTTGGATGACAGAAAAATATCTAGTATGTCTCAATATATAGCATGTCAAATACAATATGCCAAAAACACCAGGATGTCCTGCATTCGGTTGCATTTTGCAGTGTGCAGGCCAGCATGCTTTTTTTCTAGCTATTCTGACCACAGTCCCCTCTGCATAGCATGCGCATGAGCAAGAGTCAAAGTTTAAGGGGCAATGTTTTGATTTTGAAGTAGTATATCCCAATTCTTTGTATACTGCATTCAAGTTGCAAGAGTACATACTTTGTGAGGGCAGTTGCAGTATGTACTAATAGTAAAAAGAAAAAGTATGAGATTTGGAATGCAGCACAGATAATCCAAATCATAGCTTCTGTAATAAATACAACAATTGTGCAACTTTGATCATTTTAAATGATTATTGACAGGGGTCAGGGGGTGTTGATTATATCAAGATAGCATAAACAAATGAAGAAGACAAAATAATGAAATTTAAGGTGGTATTAGAAGTAATTCTCAGGAAAACTCATGATGTCTTACAAAGCACTGCTTATTGAAGCAAACAGAGTGCGGACACAATGTGGTACCAAACTAATATGAAGAATACTTCCAATCTGGGGATATCTATCCTTCTTAGACATGCAGAGATTCACTAAGTGTCCAAATAAGATTATTGTGCACCCCTCTATGCTTGTTTGAAGACCCTATTGGATTTCGGTTCTAAACAAGACACTGTGCTTACCTAAGTCAACCCAATTCATGTTGTGTGTCATTCAAGTTACATGCAACACTTTCTAAAGAGAGTCAGTCAGTCAACAAAAAAACCCTTGGGTTACCTAGGAAGTGGCTCACAGAGTGCATCCTTACTGAGGCAAATGCTTCAAACAGGCACAACAGGCAGAAAGGAGAGACAGATTCTGACCTACTGTTTTGGCTTACTTTAGCTCAGCAATTGAGCTTATCATGACCAAAGGAAACCTGTGTCATAGTACACATTCAATTCTTCCACATTAATTTCAAACTTGATGCATTGCATTACATATAGGTGTGTAGAGCTGGTTTTTGCAATGTATTCAGACACATATTTTGGATTTTTTGATTATTTCTGTTTACCAGTTGCTTTTGTCTCATCTGCACATTGTTGTAACAAAACAGCTGCATGCCAAAGGACTTGGGTTTGACTCCAGGCTGGCAGACAAACTAAGTCCAGACCAAAGTAAGACGGCCAATGAGGTAACCCACAACTCATATTTGGTTAAGAAAATACTTTTATTTAGTGGTCAAAGCAACGCTGAGGAACACTTTTCTGAATGAAAAATGGGAAACTGTTGCCGGTCAGATCAGCAAAACATGGACACATCATAAAGTCGAGACATTATGGAGTCATGTTATTTACTAATTTCTGTCAGAGATCTTCCAAGGAGGCGCGTTATTTCATTTAAGGCGATTTCAGTGCTGTTATACTAAACACCTTAACTGCAGCCTTAACAGACCACAACCGTATTAATCTACATTTTAAGCATCTCCAAGTCCACCAAACTGTTTCTCCCCAGCCTGCTGTCGACTGCCTGCTGTGATGTGACTGAGGGGAATGAACTTCATGGTGGTCTCTTTCAGGGAGTACCAGCGGTCGTGCCATGTGACCCAAATAATGCCGTTGTCGTAGCCAAATTCACCTGCATCCTTCTCCGTGTACCTGCCACCTAGATGAAGAGAACACAAACAGTTTAGAGTGAACCTTAAAGGATTTTTACTTATATATATGTTTGGATAAAAGTTCTGTCTTTATTCTTCAGGGGCTAGTTGTTGATTTGTTAATAAAAACAAAATTGTAGATCCTTAAACAAAACCCATTAGCTAAATGAACACTGATTAAAGGGTTGGGCTCAGGTTTCCGCTATGTGGTCTTACCCTGGTAGTATTTGCCGTTCAAATGTGCAGCATGACATCTGTTCATCCACCAACCGGTGCCGTCCTGCGCAGCACAGTTGCCATCGTACTTGTCATTGTCCTTGTCGTGGGTACTGAACTGCATGCCATTGTGAGACGTGTAGAACTTATCACTGGGATCATCACCAAAGTCATAGCCATCGAAAGCATCTCCAGCATCACCGCCAAAGTAGAAGCCGTATGTTAGACGGTACATGTCGATCTCTGGTCCAACTCTGAACATGTTGTAGTCGGCATACCTGGAGAAAGGAAGCCACAGAGAGGAATGGAGGATTAATGTTGAGTTTGGGTAACCTCTAATGAGTAATTTTTTTCTTCTTCAAAGGAAACCTAATCCTCATGGTCATTTTTGCCTTGTGTGTGTGTATGTGTGTGTTGGTGTGTGTGTGAATGTACTTTTTGTTTCCCTCCCAGTCAACAAGGTCTATCCTGAGCACATTTGGAATGCTTGAAGTGGCAGTCAAGAGATGCATCTTCTCTAGGCCAAGCCAGAACTCAGTTGTGTCATCTGATGAGAGATTACCAAAGCCCTGCTTGTACTGGATCCAGTCCTTGCGGAAGTCCACGCTTCCATCGCGTCTCTGTAGACATGAAAAAGTGTCAAAATGTTCTTCTTCGACAAAATAATGTGTAGGAATCACACAGCGCAAGATGGAGACAATAAAGGGCCATTTCCCTTGATTTTGTTCATGGCATACCCTCTGTATTACTGTAAAGCCACGTCCAAAGCTGTCAATCTCACAATAGACCAGAAACTGCTCTGTGGCTTTTGCTGGTTTCACATAGTAAAGACCACTGGTGGTGGCTCCTTTGTTTGCAACATCCTGACAGTCTGATGAAAAAAAAGAACTAAAAACCTCACTCCAGACAATTGTTGTTCATTATAAAAAAAGACGAGACATTACAAAACATATCTTTACTAGCTGTTATATAATATATATAATATATATTATAATAATAATAATAATATAATGTCCACATTTATTTTAATTATGTTTAGAAATGACTTATTTGAATGATCTAGAATAAATCTTATAAATAAACTTTGCATTGATGCACTATATTAATTTTAGTCTCTAAATAAATGGGAATGCTCGAGGGTAAATTAAATGATCTTTTTCCTTTTACCTCTCCCTGTGGTAGGCTGGATCTTAACTGTGTCTTTGCAGGATTCCTTGCATTTCTGCTGCAGCTGAATGGAGAGTTGTTTCAAGTCTGCCATTTTCCTCTCGTTGTATGAAATTAAATTCTGAAGTTCACTGGAAAGACAAACAGATATGAGTCATGTGTCTCAGTTTCTTAAACAGTGAGAAGTACAAAACAATGGAGCTCCAAGAGGTTTTGCAAAATAGATAACACACAAATAAGAACATGAGAAAATGAAATAGAAGCAAAAAGAACAGAATATGAATGAAATTTGGAAAAAGACATGAAACATAATTAAATTTGAGTGCTCAATAAATGTCACAAGTGAGTCTGAGTTCCTGTGTTTATAGGGGAAAGATGAGTCGTGGCAAAACGCCCCACTGGTGTACAGTCCTAGCTGTGCGGGCGTGGAGTGTTGGTGTGCGTTGACCTGGAGGTTTGGGAGGCTGGGTCAAATTGGCAATTGTTTCAAGTTCCTGTTGCAAATTGTCCAATCCCTGTTCACCCCGGCATATACCTCAGCAAGTAATCAGCCATTCCACATGTAGTTGGACAGTACTTTCCCTGAATACAGACAGCGCAAGTGAAAAACATTGATGATAGTGTTCTCATAAATATATACATATACAATCCACACAGCAAAAACATGTAAGGTCATTATTTGTAACTGCATACTTACAAAGCCATTCGTGGTGCATGCTGTAACATTGTCTACTCTGACTTGCTACACAAAAAAGACAAAAACGATTTTGATTTTTTCCCAATAAAACTGTGTGAGTGAAAAACCTAAATTCAGTGACTCACTCCTGATGAGAAGGAGAAAAGTAACAGAAGTCCTCCTGCTGCTGCAAGAAGTGATGGAGCCATGCTACTTTGGCCACCAGTTGTGGTCTTGCCTTCTAGGAGAATGACAAGCTACTCGACTGTGTGGGATATTTATCTGGACAAGGTTCAGTGTTTGATGAGGGGTTCATATGCAAACATCCCACTCAGTAAAGCTGTAACTAAAACATCCAACAGCAGTCATTTCCCAGATTTTATTGGGGGGGGGGCATAGCAGTCAAATCGGACACATCTTATTTTGTTTTCTTTTTAGCCTACCAGATACTTTACTTCTTACAGTTGGTTGTCAGCTGACCCAAGAGCAGATGTAGAACATAACAATTAGTGGTAAAAACTAATAGTGTTTAAAGGTACTGTTGGTGAGATGGTAGATAAGGCTAAGGCAGGTTAGGTAAACAGCATGGCGAGAGCTGGTGTGTACACAAGAATCCTGGTGCACAGGAAAAACACACATTAGAGAGGGTCACTGGAGGCAACAACAAAACTACTAGTGAGTAGATACTGAAGACATGAGGCCACACGTACTTCACCACATTTAGACACTTGGAACACTCTTACGACAAGTAGTAGAAAGCCAGGAGTATTTGGATGATGAGATGATTGAAGTCAGGTGTGCTGCTCCACCAGGTGCCCTCCAATTTAGCCATGCCCATACACATATACACTCACTGGCCACTTTATTAGGTACACATTGCTAGTACCGGGTTGGACCCACTTTTGCATTCAGAACTGTCTTAGTTCTTCATGGCATAGTTTCAACAAGGGGTTGGAAACATTCCTCAAAAACCTTGGTCCATATTGACATGATAGCATTGCACAGTTGCTGCAGATTTGTTGGCTGCACATCTATGATGTGAATCTCCTGTTCCGCCACATCCCAAAGGTGCTCTATTGGATTTAGATCTGGTGAATGTGGAAGCCACTGGAGTACAGTAAACTCATTGTCATGCACAAGAAACCCGTTTGAGATGATTTGAGCTTTTTGACATGGTGCATTATCCTGCTGGAAGTAGCCATCAGAAGATGGGTACACTGTGGTCATAAAGGGATGGACATGGTCAGCAACAATACTCAGGAAGGCTTCCACAATTAACGATGACCCAAAGTGTGCCAACAAAATATTCCCCACACCATTACACCACCACCACTAGCCCGGACCGTTGATACAAGGCAGGATGGATCCATGCTTTCATGTTGTTCACACCATATTCTGACCCTACCATCTGAATGTCACAGCTGAAATTGAGACTCATCAGACCAGGCAATGTTTTTCCAATCTTCAATTTTCCCATTCTAGTGAGCCTGTGCAAGTTGGAGCCTCAGGTTCCTGTTCTTAGCTGACAGGAGTGGCACCCGGTGTGGTCCTCTGCTACTGTAGCCCATCTGCTTCAGTCTTCAACATGTTGTGTGTTCAGATTTGCATCCCGGCAGTTTGATGAAAAAAATGTGTAGCGTAAAACATTGTCTGGCTCACTCCAGACTATTGCTGTTCATTATAAAACAGGATTCAATTTTATTTCACTTTATAAAAAACAAGACAAAACATATCTTTACCTGCTGTTGGTGTGATTTATTTTTTGGGTAATAATGTTCACATTTAATTAAATTTTGAAGTTTAGAAATAACTAATTTGTTTAGTGTGTATTGATGCACCATATTGATTTAAGTCTCTAACTAAACATCGAACAAGGACAAACGTTGTTCAGATCAGGCATGATTGAGAAACCTCATGTGAAATGGTAATGACCAGATGGCTGATGATTTTATTTGTTTTCTTTTACCTGTCCCTGTGGTGGGCTGCATCTCAACTGTGTCTTTGCAACCCTCACTGCATTTCTGCTGCAGCTGAATGGAGAGTTGTTTCAAGTCAGCCAATTACTCGTTGGATGAAATTAAATTCTGAAGTTCACTGGAAAGACAAACAGATGTGAGTTGTATGTCTCAGTTTCTTAGACAGTGAGAAGTACAAAACAATGAAGCTCATAGATATTTTACAATATAGACATGACAAGCATAAGATGAAAAGGAAATCAAATAGAAGAAAGAAAAACAAAATATGAATGAAATTTGGAAAAAGACGTGAAACGTTAAGTTAGTCATTTAGTTCCTGCTTCTATAGGGAAAAGATGAGTCGTGCCAAAACACCCCACTGGTGTACAGTCCTAGCTGTGCGGGAGAGGAGGGTGGGTGTTCATTGAACGTGAGGCGTGGTCGGCTGGGTCAAATTGGCAATTGTTTTCAAGTTCCTGTTGCAAATTGTCCAAATCCTTGTTCATCCCGGCATATACCTCAGCAAGTAATCAGCCATTCCACATGTAGTAGGACAGTACTTTCCCTGAATACAGATGGGACAAGTGAAAAACATTGATATATATATATATACAGTCCACACAGCAAAACATATTAGCCCATTATTTGTAACTAGATACTTAATTACATAACTACATACTACTACAAAGCTGTCATTTGTGGCGCATGTGTCACGTACCCTCGGGCGTGATGACTGGCTGTTTTTGTTCTTTGTCTATGATTTGTGTGCTGGGAGCTTGGTGTGTTTTTGTTTTGTCTTGTGGTGTTCTGTGTCACTCTACTGACAGTGCTCGGGGACGTGCCTATCTCTGGCTGCTCACACACCTGGCTGAGCTCGTCACCACACCTGCTCGTCATCTAATCATCTGCAGTACTTAAGGAGCAGTGACACATCCAGTCACTGCTGGATTGTTGTGAAGTATAGAATATGCTACAGCTTTCTAGCCAGTTTATTGATGATGCTTTTTGCTGCCTGCCTGAGCTGTATACTTCCTGTCTGTTTCTGCCTGCAAATTAACCGTGTGTCTCTCTGCCTCAGGAATCATCATTGGAGACACAGTCCTGGAAATCCTGTCCGGAAACCCAGTTCGCCTAGCCCACGCTTCCTGTAAGCCAGTATTTGGATCTACCACTCTTCAAGCCTGCCAGCCAGCCACTCTCTGGATCACCCCCGCCTCTGGACTCCCACTCTCGCCTGCCAGCTTCCCCTTTTGCACCATTTACTCATTGTCTAAATAAACCGTTTAAACTCTTGTCCGATCTGCTTCTGGGTTCCCCTCAGAATCCTTACAGCATGTTGTGAAATTGTTTATCCTGATTTGCTACACAAAAAAGAAAAAGATGATTTAGATGGTTTTTCTCAAGAAAGCTCACTGCTTATGAGAAGGAGAAAAGTAACAGAAGTCCTCCTGCTGCTGCAAGAAGTGATGGAGCCATGTTGCTTTGGCCACCAGTTTTGGTCTTGCCTTCTAGGAGAATGACGAGCTGCTCAACTGTGTGGGATATTTATCTGGACAAGGTCCTTAGTTCAGTATTTGATGAGGGGTTCATATGCAAACATCCCACTCACTGTGTAGGGACAAACCTGTGACTCCAAAGTCCAACGGAGGTCATTTCCCAGATTTAATGGGGATCTGTAACTGACAGCTTTAGCTGAGTTATCAGAGCACAGCCATATGTGGCTTTACCATGAACTGTATATTTATGAATTAACCCAGTGCTGGTAATGATGACAAAGCAAGTCAAGAGAATGTTGACTCAGCTTTATATATCTTATCTTATTTACATGTACATGTCCCTGTAAACATTAACATTAGTATGTTGTCAATGAAGACGTGCCAACAAATACTGGACGAATGACATGTTTGTGAAACAAGACCACAACATGTCCATGGGAAATGCTAATTTTGAATTGGCGAGCAGATAAAACATTTTAATGTTAAAGACATCTTAAAATATGGAAAACAGTTTCTGCCAGGAAAAATAACAAAATAAAGGAAATGCTCAGGAGAAAATAAATGTTATGATTATTGAGTGGTGTTGATCATATGAAGACAGCATAAGCAATTGAAGCAGACGAAATATGTACATTTAAAATGGTATTTATTTCAAGCCTGTTGCATTACATACAGGTGTATATTTCTGGTTTTGCAGTCAATTCAGACATATATCTTATTTTAGCATTTTTGATTATTTCTTTTCACCAGGTGCTTTTGTCTCATCTCCATATAGTTTCACAAAACAGCTGCTTGCCATATGGACTTTACTAGATTGTGTCTCCAGACTGGCAGCCATTCAGTCCAAACTAAAACTGTCCAATGAAGTAGTAATGACAATCCATATCTGGTTAGTGCATTAGCCAAAGCTGAAGATGAAAAGGAAAAATGTAAACATCAGTGTCCATGCTGGGTCAGATCAGCAAAACATGGACACATCAGAGATCTTCCAAGGAGGCGTGTTATTTCATTTAAGGCGATTTCAGTGCTGTTTTACTAAACACCTTAACTGCAGCCTTAACAGACCACAACCATATTAATCTACATTTTAAGCATCTCCAAGTCCACCAAACTGTTTCTCCCCAGCCTGCTGTCCACCACCTGCTGTGATGCGACTGAGGGGAATGAACTTCATGGTGGTCTCTTTCAGGGAGTACCAGCGGTCGTGCCATGTGACCCAAATAATGCCGTTGTCGTAGCCAAATTCACCTGCATCCTTCTCCGTGTACCTGCCACCTAGATGAAGAGAACACAAACAGTTTAGAGTGAACCTTAAAGGACTGTTACTAATATGCTTCAATAACAGTTTGTTTCTTTGTGTTGAAGGGGGCTAGTTGTTAATTTGTTAATAAAAATAAAATCTTGGAGCCCTAAACAGCACGTTCAGGCAAATTAACACCAGTTGAAGGGTTTGGTGCTGGTTTCAGCCAGGTGGTCTTACCCTGGTAGTATTTGCCGTTCAAATGTGCAGCATGACATCTGTTCATCCACCAACCGGAGCCGTCCTGCGCAGCACAGTTGCCATCGTACTTGTCATTGTCCTTGTCGTGGGTACTGAACTGCATGCCATTGTGAGACGTGTAGAACTTATCACTGGGATCATCACCAAAGTCATAGCCATCGAAAGCATCTCCAGCATCACCGCCAAAGTAGAAGCCGTATGTTAGACGGTACATGTCGATCTCTGGTCCAACTCTGAACATGTTGTAGTCGGCATACCTGGAGAAAGGAAGCCACAGAGAGGAATGGAGGATTAATGCTGAGTTTTGGCCTCTAATGGGTCATTTTGTGGCTGGACTGCAGCATAGGGGGACCAGTCCCATAAACACAAAAGTCAGTCCCTGACTGAGAGATGAGGGTACACTGCTGGTTGGTCAAGTACTGGAGTATCCCCATTGGCAGTAGCTCTGTCTAAATGAGTAGGTGCAGACAGGCCACCACAGAGCTACGAGCATGCACAGAGGCGTTTATGCTCTGTTGTAATATTCTCCAAAATGCCTGGGGGCTCATAAACAAAACATTATATGAAGAAAGAAAATGGTCAATGAGTGTTACCGAAAGATCTCCATAGATCAAACATGGCTGCACACTCTGCTATATGTTCCAGAGGAAAAATTGTAATTAAGTGGAAAATCATATCTAGTCACGGACACACTTTATCGCTGTTACACAATCACTGTATAGAAAGAAGTTAAGTATTTGGAACAACTAATGTATTCTGAAAGTAAGGCTGAATATTCTCTAAGGAGCCTACACAATTTGATTTCTGCTGGCAAAATATGATTTACTCATATATAGAATTTTAAGATCTCCTGTTTTTGAAGTATTTAAAACAAATTGGCCGGCATTTTAGAATCATTGAGACATATTAATAGTAAGAAGTCAGTCATTACTTTCCTTGTTAATTTATTTGTTTTTTATTAGTACTTATGGTTCTGTGTTCAGTGTGTTCTCAGCTTTTGTATTCAACAAAGTGTGAACAAAACAAATAAATAAAAATAGCGCTTGGTGCAAGACGCACATTGCCATTACTTTTGGTAGACGTACCCTTGCGCTGGGGACACTGCCACTAAGTTTCCTAATCTTGTTTCTTCTTTAAAGGGAGCCTCATCATCAGGGTCATGATTTCCTTATCAGTGAGTCCCTTTGCTCTCCTCTTACATAATCTGTTATCGTGTGTGTGTATGTGTGTATGTGTGTGTTGGTGTGTGTGTGAACATACTTTTTGTTTCCCTCCCAGTCAACAAGTTCTATCCTGAGCACATTTGGCATGCTTGAAGTGGCAGTCAAGAGATGCATCTTCTCTAGGCCAAGCCAGAACTCAGTTGTGTCATCTGGTGAGAGATAACCGAAGCCGTTCTTGTACTGGATCCAGTCCTTGCGGAAGTCCACGCTGCCATCACGTCTCTGTGGACATGAAAAAGTGATCAATCCAACATTTATCACGGCATTGCTAGATTTGACTCCTGTTTCTGCAGTTAGTCAACCAAAACATTTCTCAAATGCTAATATTTGAATTCCACTCTTAAAATAGTCGTTTACTAAGGGACTGTATACTAACTTTCTCATGTATGTGTTAATTGGTCAGATATCAGACAGCTTTGAGCTATGATTTCATACATAAAAGCATTATATATGAGAATACTAACATTTAAAAGTAGCTACACTCCCATACATTATTATGCTTTGTCTCTTTCAGTTGTAAATGGTGAAATTAATTGTCATAGGGAAGGTCAAAAAGACATGTCACACACTGGGGAAGGCTGTTTTTAAAGATCAAAACATAATGTCCAGCCCCCGATCCCATCCAAATAACATTCATACAATCAGTATTATCAGTGGTTTGCTTTGAAGTTGGCGAATTACAAACTGTTTTTCTGGGTATTAAATTCTTCTTCTTCGACAAAATAATAATGGCAATAATCCAGAGCAAGATGAAGACAATAAAGAGCTATTTTCCTCAGTTGTTCAAGTGAAGCATACCCTCTGTATTACTGTGAAGCCACGTCCGAAGTTGTCAATCTCACAATAGACCAGGAACTGTTCTGTGGCTTTTGCTGGCTTCACATAGTAAAGACCACTGGTGGTGGCACCTTTGTTTGCAACATCCTGACAGTCTGATGAAAAAGGGAAGAAGAAGGAGAAAAAGGAAAGTTCACTATTATAAAATGTCACAACAAAACTAAAATCTCAACTTAAAGGATCATTTCAGTATTTTTAAACCTGGGCCCTGTTTTTACATATTTGATGTTGAAATGACTAGTAGGTACAAAAAGTTGTGGAAACTGTGCAGTAGAGAGGAGATATAACAGCCTGAGCCTGTCAGAAAGAAACACTTTTGTGGACGTAATTTTGACAGTTGCCCCTAAGGAATTTGTTGCAGCCCCTGCAGCCTGTTCATGGCTGCTGGGTTAAACCATCTACTGCACGGATTCCAAAATGTTTTGTACCTACAATTGGGCCCAGGTTTAACAATACTGAAATTTTCAAGTAATTACATCCATATTTCTTTAAGTTATGATGATTAGACGTAACCTTTTTGAAATTAGGTCACGACTTATTACATCTAAAATAAATCTGTTTACTTTGCATTGATGCACCGTATTGATTTTAGTCTACTAAACTAAACACCGAACAAGGACAAATGCTGTTGAGATGGGGCATGATTGAGAAATCATTTGTGAAATGGGAATGGCCAGAAGGTCAATGAATGGATTTTTTTCTTTTACCTGTCCCAGTGGTGGGCTGGATCTCAACTGTGTCTTTGCAGGGCTCACTGCATCTCTGCTTCAGCTCAACGGAGAGTTGTTTCAAATCTGCCATTCTCCTCTCATTGGATGAAATTAAATTCTGAAGTTCACTGGAAAGACAAACAGATATGAGTTGTATGTCTTGGAATTTGGAAAAAGATGTGAAACTTAAGTTAGTTATTTAGCCTGAGTTCCTGTGTCTATAGGGGGAGGAATGCAACTGGTAACTGCAGCTCTTAAATAAATGTATTGGATTATGAAGGGTGCAATGTTTACCTCTGAAACAAAGCAGAAGAATAAAGACACATATAAAAGAATTACCCAACTAGCTAAAAAAATAACTTAGATAAAGTAATTGAGTAAATGTCCTTAAGTACTTTCCACCACTCACTCATGTCAAATATTATACTTCTATGGTAACTTACAACATTTGCTGTTCCTGTGTGATGATGGTCTTTTCAAATCGAGCAACATCATCCAGCATACTTGAGGACTTTTTGAAGTATGAGTCTGAAATAAAAAGTCAGTAATTATCTCAGTGCAGTTTCAAAACTACATTTCACAAGCCAAGTCAAATAATGTATTAGAAGAGCAAATTTAAAAACAAGTGTTGCCCAAAGGGCTTTACAGGGGAATTTAAAGTAGTTAAATAAGCAAATAATTGTAACAGACAAATTGTCTTGTTATATTACAAAGGGACTCAAGCATAGTTAATTAAAGTTGAATCTTAAGACAATTTTTATGCTACCAAATTTAGTGTGTTACCTGATGGGGAACTCTTTTGAGCTGAAGTAGCAGAATCTTTCATGTTGACAACAGTTAATTCGGCCCCCTGGGTCAAATTGGCAATTGTTTCAAGTTCTCGTAGCAAATTGTCCAAATCCTTGTTCACCCCTGGCATATACCTCAGCAGGTAATCACTCACTCCACATGTAGTAGGACAGTACTTTCCCTGAATACAGACAGGGCAAGTGAAAAAACATTGATTTATACATACACAATCCAAACAGCAAAAACATACTGTATAAACGAATTATTTGTGACAGCATACTTACAAAGCCGTCATTTGGGGTGCATGATGCAATGTTGTCTCCTCTGATTTGCTACACCAAAAAGACAAAAACGATTTAGATTTCTCAAGAAAACTGTGTGAGTGAAAAATCTAAATTCTGGGACTTACTGCCGATGAGAAGGAGAAAAGTAACAGAAGTCCTCCTGCTGCTGCAAGAAGTGATGGAGCCATGTTGCTTTGGCCACCAGTTGTGGTCTTGCCTTCTTGGAGAATGACGAGCTGCTCGACTGTGTGGGATATTTATCTGGACAAGGTCCTTAGTTCAGTGTTTGATAAGGGGTTCATATGCAAACATCCCACTCACTGTGATGGAACAAAGCTGTGACTCAAATGTTCAACAGCAGTCATTTCCCAGATTTGATGGGCATCTGTAACTGACAGCTGGGATTGGAACACAGTTTATTTACCATTCTTATTCATAATATGATAAAAATCAAAGTCAAACGACAGCCTGAGTCATTCTTTACAGGCACAATGTCATTGTAACATGTCCCTGTAAAACATTAACATCAGTGTGTTGTCAATAAAGGCATGCCAACAAATACTGGACGAACGAATAAACAAGACCACAACATGTCGACATAAAAAATTCATTTTCAACTGTTAAAATATTTTACCAAGACATCTTACTTACTGTTGCATATCTAAGTGATTTTGATGAGATTCTAAGTAGACTTTTTTAAACTGAGTCAGAATTATGAGAGAGTAAGTAAAGTAAGTCAAAGGTTTAACTTAATACCGCCAAATTTAGAATTGCATGTTTGAAACCATGCTCCTAAAAACAAAACTATAGACTTTGACATGGGAAATGTCTGGGAAAAAAAACTGTGAATAATTACAAATAATTAATCTAAAAAATATTAAATTTGAGTCATAATTTTCCCTTACAAAATTTGATTTACACAGTCAAAAATACTTTCTAGGTCATAAAATTGTTAAAAATTCTAACTTTATGGAAAAAAATCTGATTTATCATCTCATTATTTTGAGTTTCTTTTTTAACATCCTTAGTTATCCTCTTTTACTTTTCCTGGCGGAAATGAGCGTCTATACAAATGTATGATGATAAATCGGAGTGTGTTACGACCCCCTGTTGGTCTAGGGGTGTTGGGGCCATAAACATATAGGCACAACTGGTAGATCTTAACAAGGTAACGTTTATTGGTAACAGAAGAGATGTAGACAGGTAACAAAAAAACAAAAGGAGGGTGGACGAGGGTGCTGCGAAAATAACAAACCAAGTTAAAATAAAAAGGTCCTCAAAAGGAGGCCTGTACCTATCTATCGTTTTAAACAGGGTTGATTCTTACTACAAAAGAACACAAAGAGCACAGCACCCACTCCACCTGGTGAAAACTAACACAATAGTAAACAGAACAATAAGTGAATTTCTCCACTGCACCCAAATGTGGAGCTAACATACAAAGGTATGCAAATGTTTACCTAAACACAACGTACAGCTAATAGGCAAGGAAGGTGGATAGTTCCACTACACACAAAGTACAACAGACAGGCTATGCAGTCAATACCAGCGGCACACAAGTCAACAGGCGGTGACAAGCTGCCTGGAGCAACAGGTGGACTCTCCTTATGAGCTGGAGGTAATTAACGTGGTGACGAGCCATTGGTTGAGTGGAAAACAGAGGGAACCAATGGGCGGTACAGATGTCAGCACCCCAGAAACCAGAAAGTAGGCGGGTCTTCATTCCCCAGGGACACAGCCTACTTGGTAGAGGTGAGACAGGGAAAAGGGGAAACACAAGGGTGACAGCGACAGCCGTGACAGAGTGCAGTATATTATATTGCAGATAATCATGGCAGCAGCTGCGCTCTCTATAGTCACAACTTGCTGAATGTAAAGCTGTTACTGTTGAGACGCTGGCATGGGGTAAACTATCAACACTAATTCTCTTTTTGCCTGTGGTAAGTGATCATAATATTACTCAGAGGTGTATATTAGATGAAAAAACTATGATTATAAGCTTTAGAACAAGACTTAACTTTGTGATAGTTTAGCTAGGAATAAAATTCAATATTTCTTTGCAATCATCCTTACTCATTCACTGAATAGGCTGCATGATAGGTTGATGGTGTTGACCTCTTATTTGAAACTTGGCTGCACTGGCAGGGAAAACCACTAGTGGGAGTTGAACGACAATAAACCAAAGATTCATACCTTACAATCAGGAGATTTCTAGGAGATCTGTGTGACAAGATACATTTTAACAAATGAAGCTCAATCTCACAACTACACACTGAAACCTACATGAAATACACTGTATCTATATATATACAACATTTGTCGATGTGTATCTGTTCATTTGTGGCACAGAAGGAAGACAAATAAATCACTGGTGGATTTAACTTTACATAAATTGTGGAGAATTAACATTTTGTATTTCAGAAACAAGGTATTCACTATTTGCTTACTGCAGTCTGCAGGAAAATCAGCTTCAGCATGTTTTTCTGAGAAAACAAAGCACATTTTTTACCGGCTTAATTTGTAAGAAGCACATGTGCAGCTGAGCTACTATTGACTTAAGTGGAGGTTGAACACAAGACAGATCAACAGAAGAAAGCAGAGAAAAAGAAATCTCCTGAGTGTAACCACTGAAAACAATTTTTTGTCATCAACAAATCAAATGACAGTCATGCTGTAAATGAATCATTATGATCTTGCTTGTCAAATCAGAAACCTGTCAGATGACCAGAGTAAAATAAAAGCAATTAACAACAAAGAGGCATGCTTTTTTGTATGTTGTGGTGGTACATTTTTCAAGTGATATTTTAATGTTGTGTCATAGTTCCTTTTTTTTACTCCCACTCAGTTAATCTGGAATACTCTCATTAGGAATCTTGTGTCAAATAAAGGATTTCTACAATACTTCTCAAAATTTTAAAAACTCTTCAACAATGAAAAACTAGCAACACAGCAATCTCAGCAACCCTCGTATTTAGGACACATACGTTTTTTGAAACACAATTTAGACTTAGATGTTGGGAAAAAACATTTACAAAAAAATGGAACTTAACAGCTAACTGAGTAAAAAAAACAACAAAGTATCCATAACTGACTTGATATATCCCCCATTACAAATTGTTTGGGGGTGTATTGGGGGATCTTGGTCCCTCCAGTCTCTTTGCCAGAGGAAACTTAATGTACGCGCATCTCATTTTGCTAGGTGAGCATTTTAAATTGTTGGACTGAATTCATGAATATATTTGATGAATAAGTTAATTAAAACTTTGTGAGAGGCTGTTACACCAGTTGCATCATGATCATACACAATATTTTTTGATGTGATACAGTGCATTTGTTGTTTAGCCAATAAAACACAGCATTACATTTACACAAAATACTTTTCCTGAACTCACAATTAAAAGAGCTAAAGGTGACGTGTCTTGGTGTGAAATCTCCTCAGAACCAGCTGAGAACTTTACGTGCATCAGTCAGTAGTGGTCAGTGAAAACTTTTCTCAGTACTCACAATGGATTTTCACACAAAGGGGCGGATGCACCAATTGTCAGTCAGTCTCTATTTGAAAATTCATTTTTTGGAAAAGGGGAGGGGCTACATGGTTAAATAGTAGTGGGGTACAAGATGCACCACGGCACATGCCAACCCACCCAAAAAGCATGATTTACTTGGTACTGGTTTCCTTAAATATAATGTAATAATTGTAATAATTGGAGCAAGATGGACTTCAGGAGTTCTTCATGGAGATCAGAAATTCAACTCTGAATTTTGCTGGTGATGATTTTACTTATAGAGAGAAAGACATTGCACATAAGTGATCTATCTAATGGTATGTTCAAAGACATCAAAGTGCATGTGAATGTTATAAAGTTTACTCATCCAATTTCACGTCTTCAAGACAGTAACAAATCCCCAATCACCACTTGTCTCAGGCACATTTAGCTTCCCCACAGGGCTCTGGTTTCATGCTGTTGTGCTTGTTTGAATTAAGTTATATAACTAATGTTCAGAAACAGGACCACGCCTCTCTCTCTCACTCACTGATTCAACGACCTGCGTCTCATTCAATTCCTAGAATCCAACCACCCGTGCTTCACTCATTTCATCCACCTGTGACTATCTAATACAGTCACCTGCACATACATATACAAGCCTGTCTAACCCCTTTCTCTCCCGTTTCTCAGTTTCAAACCCTGTTTCTCACCTCTTTCAATGGGCAGCACGGCGGCCCAGTATGCATGACTGTGACTCTGTGTGGAGTTTGCGTGTTTGCGTGGGTGTCCTCCCACCATCCTATACATGCATGCAAAAATCCATAATTCTGCCACAATATTGTTCTTCTTCTACTGCAGGAACCACAGGGTGTTGATTAGGAAGCTGCTTATCGAGATGAGCCCCAACCCTGAGTCTCGGTCCACGGGATCCATGCCGCTCTGGCCACCAAACCTTAGACAACCCCCTTCACCCTCCCCTCTATCCCTCCATCATAAATACTCCTTATTATCCAAATAAACTACCTTTTTATACCTCACATTGGCATGGTCTTTGTTACTAAAGTCACAGTTAATGGGCATACATGTATTTTCTTGTGACTGATGAGTTTGTGGCCTCTTTTTTTAGCCAGCCAATGGAAATGTTTGTCTGCTATGGATTTTAAAGGTTAAAATGTCTGTGGATCCATCACTTCCGCATTACAGATTGTACACATTCTTTAACACTGCTGGGTGAAAGTGAGCTAAGGCGATATCAACGAGTGAAGTGCAATGCTTTTCTTTTCTGACTGAGAAACTATTGGGGGTCAATTCAATACTGTTCAATCCCACGTTACACTGGTCTTATCACTCCAATATGGTGATAATGGTTAGCCAGTGGAATGGATATTCTTCAATGTGCTCCGGGCATACACATCTCTTTTTATTACATCAAAACAAACAGTGCAGATACTTGTGACAAAATAACGCTGAATGCCTCATCTATGGACCCCATGACATTAGTTGATAAATCTTACCTTAACTGCCTCTGTGTGACCTGGTTTTATTATGTGTAAAAAACAGACCTAGGATAGATATAAAGCCCCACTGACCTGAGAATGAACTGGTAGGCCCATGAACCTAAACAGTACTGAACCTTTGCTGAACTTGTCTCTTTGTGAAGAAACACCAGATGGAAAGTGTCTCTTTCTTTCTTTCTTTCTTTGGTGTATTCAGACACTGATGCCTGACTGACATTCGTACATTGTTTGTACATGATCAGGATGCAAAGAAACAGAAAAGTATTGTTTTCTTTATTGTGAGTGGTAGCTGAAATTCCCAAATGTTTAACATGTAAATCAAGCCAAACTAATATGGTGCTGAATCAGTGTTTCTCATAAAAACATTGTCTGTTTCAAGTTTCAAGGCTGAATAACAAAGAATATTTCACAAGTGTTCTGACCAGGAATTAAATTTAAAGAGACAATTAGATTTGTATTCACTGAGCTAAGAGACACTTAATATGGCCAGCACTGGTACTGTATGGTTGATAATTTCCTGGAATGAATCTTGAATGTCTGTTTTTAATGGAGGTGAGATTGATGATGGTATGCTCCCTAGTGGGAATTTAGTATTGTTTTTCTGTTGTTTGTTTTGGGGTAGTTGTAGTTTTTTTTGGTTTCTTAGTTTTTCGAATGGCGTTTTATTGTGTCTCATCGCGTCTTTGTTTTACTACAACTGATCTTTTATCTCTACTCCCATTAAAGATTTCAACCAAACCAATATGAGTGACTCAAAAATGATGAGGCATTTTAATAGATTAAACTACCCAATACAAATAATTAAATTAGGTCCTTGATCAGCTACAACAGCATCACTAACATTTGAAATGATAACTAACATCTAAAAGGAGCTATTGCATTTAATGTGTACTTGCGATGTTGATGCTGGCACTAAAATAAAGCATGAACCTTACTTAAGTAACACTGTGAATGAAAGACTTGTACATATAGTGATGTATTTTTACATTGCTGTTTTGCTAATTTTACTTAAAGTAAAATATCTGAATACTTCTTCCACCATTCATTAAGTAAATAAGTAAAGTTTTTTAGTATAGCACCTTTCACAGAGAAAGTCTATAGAAAGAGCTTTCCACAGCACACCACTCAAAGGCGCGATGCCCTTTTGTTATGTTTGTCAGAAGACCTAAGTGACCTACTTGTGATATATGGAGGAGGTCACGTACACAGCATGGTACACAGGTGCCTGATCACGTGTTTAGTTTTTATTTTCAAATACAACACGATAAACGGTATTAGACGTGTAGGCATGATTAATTTATCAATAAGCGAATTTGAGTAAAATAAGAGAGATTATTCTTGAGTTAGTTTTTTGCTTTTAATTTATGAAAAAAAGCTTATCATAAGTTTTTGCTGGTTATAAGTCCAATATTTGAGCAATGTAGTGCCGTATACTCATCAATGACACACTTCCTCAAAAGTAGTTTATGTGTGCTTTGAGGGTCAAACTGTTTTTCTCATAGTCTGAAAATGCTGGCTTAATTTAAATATTTTGCAAGGACTTTACAGTATCTAGGTCAACAAATGCCCTGTAACAAACTATTCAAAGATCAAAAAGGCTGAAGTGTTTCTCAAGGTATTTTCTGGGTTAAAAAATGAGTGCGTAATTGAAGCCTACAGGATTACGGTAATCTAGTCAAAAGAATGTTTTATCTCCTCATATGGTTCCTCTGAGAAGGTGCAGACCATCCAGCACAGCCTGCTTTTTCCAACACTGATCCTGGATTGAAAAACGGGACAGAAAAGATTAACCACTGTGAGTCAACAAAGTCCACTGCATACCGCTTTCTCTGTAACTCACCATCTGGAGGGTAACCAACTTAACCAGAAGGGTAAACAAAAGTTGGAAAACAAATACTGCACCCTGGAACTCACCAGTTCTCCACTCACTCTTCTGTGAATCCTACCAGACTGCCACAATACCTACCCTCTGGAAAACTGCTACCATAATCCCTGTACCCAACAAACCCTGGCCCACAGAACTCAAACACTTCTGCCCAGTTGCCCTAGCAGCCATAATAATGAAGTGCCTGGAGAAGTTGTTGCTAAATATCATCCTGCCAGTTGTTGTCCCACAACTGGATCCCCTCCAGTTTGTCTATAAGGCTAACAGGGGCACAGAGCATGCAGTGGCCTGCCTGCTGCACGTCCTCCTCCAGCACCTGGATTCCCCAGGCACCTTTGTCGGGATCCTTTTTGTGGACTTAAGCTCTGCTTTTAACACCATGCAAAGGCTGTCCTATCCATCTCATGGACAATTTGGGCCAATGTCACTTTCGGCTGACAAAAGTGACATTGACGAGTACATGTTTCAACAAAATGCACTTGATATAGCTAAATGGTCAGCTAGCCAAACCCAGACCTTCCTTATGTTCTCCCTGTCGTCTGTCTCACCACTTCTCTGTCTGTGGTTTTGTATGAAGAACTGCTCAAGTTGCCACAGAGCAACCCAAACAATCAGGATTTCTCCCTGTGCTCCGGTGGCCAGTAATTTTTTTTTCCTGGCAGTGTTTCAACAACTCTCATTTGACTTATACCTGCATTGCGTCACGTCCTGCCCCCTACTCAGGGCAGGGGTGTACTGAATGATTAACAGCGTGGCAGGTGGGTTAGGGGGATTACGGTAGGTTGTAGTTGGGGGTGGTGATGGTGCTCTGGATAAGACACATGCTTTTGGTGTGAGAGACCCAAGCCTTGCTGGCAAGGCACTATAGGTCTATATCAACCAAACCCACTTGCTTCAAAAACAGTCAGAACACTTAACACCCCCACTAAACCCCCCATGCACTGAAAACACTGGACTGAACTCAGACCGGACTCCATGAAAAATGTGTCAGACTCATAATCCTAGCATAAACAATAGGTTCCTTTCACTTCGTGCCAAGGACACCGTTGGTCACCTCAGCATTCCATTCTCATCAATAAACAAAACAGTTGAAATGGTTTTCAGTTTCAAATACCTTGGAGTTAGACTGGACAATAGTTTTGACCAGCACACTCATGACATCCAAAAAAGGAGCCACCAAAGACAATCATTCATCTGCAAGCTTAAATGACTATATGTTGCCCCTCGTTTCCTCCTCTTGTTGCTTAAGAGCATTATTCAGCCCACCCAATTGTACTGTTCCTGCTGCTTCTTTAACATGTTATCCGTTACAATCAGGCCAAACCTACATACATACATAACCAACACTGCTACCAGGATAATTGGTGTTCCCACACCCAACCTGGCAGAGCTAAATAGTAAGGCCATTGCACGCATTGCAACCTCAATAGCACAAGACATCAAACACATCAGTCACCATCTTATCCTACTGCCTTCTAGGCACAGGTAAAGAGCACTGAGATGCAGGAGGGCTCGTTTTGGGAAAAGCCTGATCCCCTCAGCCATATCCACCTTAAATAAAAGGCCTCGCTGAACTGGCTTGAGAGTGTACCGTTGTCTGTCTGTTATTGTATGTTGTTAACTGTGTGATGATGTCTGATGTGTACAGTGCTGTGAATTTCCCCCTGGGGCCAATAAAGCCTAAAGGAGAATGCACACGTGTACAAGGTGTCTCGTGGCTAATCGTATCCTAGGGATTTCCTCAAGAGCTTTCTCCTCCTCGTGCCAGAGAGGATAAAAAGCTAATTTCACTCAAGCATGTTTAGATTTTCCTCCCGAAAACTCTCATGATGCTGCAGCTGTTGACATTCCTGGTGGAGAAGCTTTCACTTCTCTCCATATTCAAACTTTTTGAGTCCAGCTGGTCAGACTGTGAAGACCAGGACCAGAAGAGGAATGCGCACCGCGGTCAACCACCACCCCTCCGAAGAGGAGACCTGCTTGAGGTCCCCAGGACCATTTTCACCCACTATGGCATATATTTAGGTGACAATAAGGTCGCTCACCTGATCCCTGACATCCTCCCCATGCTTACAAACGACAAGGAGCTCATCAGTTCTGTCATTACAAACAAGAGACTCATCCTTGGCTGCATCTACAAGTGCGCCACGGTGAGAGTGGACACATTAGAGGACTTTGCATATGGCTCCAACATACTGGTTAATCATTTTGATAAGATGAAGAATCAAGCATTTCCCAATGAAGCTGTTGCTAAGAGAGCTGAAAAACTCATCGGAGCCATTCCTTATAGTCTGCTGTGGAATAACTGTGAACACTTTGCAACATATTGCAGATATGGATCTGCAGCGAGCCGGCAAACAGAGAAGGTATAGTCCTTAACTCTTTCTTTTGAACGAATGCAGAAGTATCCTAATAAGTGTCGTTTTGGTTATTGATAATCTAAAATATATAATTATCTTTAGGGTATGTTCAGATTTAGTAGGTAAACATAAGGTGTGTTCCATATTTGCACCTTGGTGTGGATCATGTTTGTACTGTGGCTACTTACCACAGAAAAAAGATGCTGTGTTGAAATCATCATTCACTTTTTAAAGATTGTTTGTTGTCAGTTTAATCATGGTTGTATTAATGTGTG